GGACCCCCCACCCTGCCCAACAACATTTCCCCTTCCACCCCCCCTCCCCATCAGAGCCCCTCCTTCCCTCCCTCCCCAAGAACAGACCTCCCACAACTGCAATTCACACCCTTTTTCCCACGAAACTATTTACATTGTGAATTAACAACTGTTGTGGGAGGAGGGGCGCTGGGGAGGAGGTGCCTACAGTGCAGAGCATGGAGGGAGGCACCCAGCACCATGGCCACTGCCACCATCACCCTGGGTTTGGACTCTGCGGCAAGGCTAGTGGGCTGGGGGCTGGCCCAGGGCCAAGGGCAAGGGCAAGTGCTGTCCAGGTTGCCCACTGAACTCCCCCTCCTCTTCCACGGGGCCAGGACTAGCAGGCCCCATGTGGGGAGCTGGCCTAGGTGTGGCCAGCTCCCGGTCAGTGGCTGCATAGAGGTGGGGTGAATGGTGGGCAGTGGCCCAGGCTAGCAGGAGGCCAGGATCAGGATCGGGCTGGGGGGCCCTGGTCATTGCAGGCAGTTCTGTACCTTCTCCCAGGCCCACTGGGGAGTTTGACACAGGCCTGTGGGCGGCTGCCAGGGGCTAGCCAGGGCCGGTGCCAAGGGCTTGGTGCATGAAAGCAACTGCCAGGGCTAGCACTGTATCCAGGACATGCCAGTTATCCTTGGTGGCTAAAGTAAGAAAAGCATGTTCTGAACATGTCATTAGGCATTTGAAAAATCATTTAGTGCATAAACTTATCCAAGCCATCTGTCTACTCCTGACCCAGCACTGAAGGATTGCCACATGAAGAATTTGGTGGCTTAGGCCAGGAAGGTGGAAGGGAATATGTCCAAAACTGCTAGCAATAGGGATGTATACTATTATTTATTGGCAGTGAAAATCAATAAGATACTAAAGGTACTAGAATCTCTTCTAGAATGGAGGCCTTGCTTACATAAACAAGGGTTCTTGGGTAAGCAGCCAGCCTTATAAGATGCCAGGGGCTCAGACACCTGATATTCCACAGGTGGCTGCTTCCATGGTCTAGGCACAGCCCCCAAGACTTCCCAATGTCCATACCAAATGTCTATGAGTCATATATAGATGTCTCAATAATGACTCAGTTTAACCTCAAGTCCATAAGGAATGTACAATTGACACAGGCACCCACGAGACCCAGTGCAGCTTCTCTAGTGACTCATCCTGTACAAATAAACAATATAAATGCTGTTTTAGTGATGGCAATGTTTCCCTCTAGAATGCCTCCAAAACACAATGTGAGCTCGTTCTAAATTACACAAGCTAAGAGAATCCATGGAGTGTTATCAATATAATTAAGGCTACAGTGTGCACAACTATACAGGTATATATTGCACTGTCATGCTTTACTTGAACTGAATTTCAGATTTTACTATTTGCTTAGCTGGGGACCATCAACTGTTGCACATGCTACTGAATGTGCCACTAGTAACACTCATGGTGTTCACACCTCCATGGTCAGAGATGGGGTTTGGGCCTTTGGTTCAGCTCTTCTCCTACAGTCCTGCCCATATCCAAAAAAAAGGCCAAGGCTGGAAGCAGTATCAGGAGACATTGGCTCTATGAAGCAGAAAGTTACAGAGCAGAACCTAAGATAAAATCTTAACACAATGCACAGGCCTCCTCCTCACCCTCAAGGTGTTGACACATAATAGAAGTTATGTCTACAAGAGATGTTATGCTGCCGTAGCTATGAGCTATGGCGACATAGCTCATTGCTATGTCAACAAAGCACTGGTGGGCATGAACCGTGATGCCAACGCTACTGAGCAATAGCAATGGCTACTGTGCAGTGGCTTGTTGCTGCTGTGCAGTAGGGTCGCAAATAACTCATGCGCCTCCAGGACTAAGCAGTAACGGTGATTACTGTGCAGTAACCACTCTCACTAAAAGGTTCAGAGTTCATTCACACTTTGGTAATGCTAAACAAACTCAGATAGTGAAAAGTTAATTTTCACTCACACAGGAGAACCCAGACCTGCTATTGGATAAATTGCTGGCATCCACCTTGACACTATATACTGTGCAGTATATAAGCATTCCAACATGCTCATTAATTCCATTCTAGAATCTGAAGTAAGTGCTATACTTTGCAATGGATGCTCAGGGAGCAACAACTGTTTTCCTGGCGCTGTGTATTTTCTGCTTTCTCTTCTTCACAAACTGGAGAAAGAGGTCTGGAAATGGGAAGCTGCCACCTGGACCAGTTTCTTTTCCCATTGTAGGGAATGCACTGCAGCTGAAAACCAAGGATTTGTCCAGAACCCTCCGCAAGGTATGGCTGCTTCCTCCTTCTTACGTGTTTTGTTGCAGGGAATGAAAAGCAGAATGTTTTCAGCTTGCTTTACAGTCTAATACTAGTCTCAGGTGCTGCGGTGCTATATTCCTGGCCCTGCCACTGAGTGGTGTCTGCTCTTCATCAAGTTAACATAGGCTTCTTACACATATACGACGATCCAGAGGATTGACGGTTGCTTACTATGCCCAGGAAAAACTGTTAAGGTCAAGAAATCTGTCTGTTTTCATGCACTGAACCTAGTACATTGGAGATGCAGGCTGGGTTGGAAATTGTATTTATTTATTTATTATTTCTTTCTTAGATTTATATGCCACCCTTCCCACGAAAGGTTCAGTTTACAATAGAAGACAAAATATTAAAGAAATGAAATAACATATTAAAAGAAGGTGCAACAAAGTAAAATGTCCACCTCTCCAACCCTGCCCTCAAAAGTCAAAAACAATCTACGTTGACCATCCCATCCCGCTCTCTTCCCTTTGACCAAGGAGTGTCTCCATCTACACAATCCAACCTCACTTCCCAACCCACATTCACTTATGGCATAACAGAAAGCAATAAAAAGCAGCAGTGCTTCAACACAGCCTTACTGCCACTGCCCTGGGAGGTAGCGTGTGGAGAGGTAGTTCATGTAATTCTGAAGAGGGCTGCCTTCATCAGCATTTGTTTAAATGGCTGTGATCCTCCCCACCCCTGAAGCTGACCCCAGCCACATTGTGTTTTCACAGCTGAGTGAGACATACGGTCCAGTGTTCACAGTGCACTTTGGATCTGAGCGTGTCGTGGCCCTGCATGGATATGAGGCTGTGAAGGAGGCACTGATTGATCGGGCAGATGAGTTTGCTGCCAGAGGACACATGCCCATTGGTGACAAGTTTAACAAAGGATTAGGTACTTTTTCAGCCTTGGAGTGCCTGGTGGGGATGTTCTGTCTTTGGAGAGCAGGGGGATGAGGAGACGTTGGGAGAGACAGTCTTTGCCCCAAAGATATTACAGCATGAGGGGTAGATCTAACTAAAGACTTTGGTGCCTACAAGTTAAGTGCTGCAATACCTAACTCTCAGATGCAGGGGCAGGGGCAGAGACACGGGTAGGGGAACGACTGTCCCCCCAGAGTGGGGCTTACTATGTGGCTGGGCTGGCATGGCTGGAGGCTTTACATGGTCACAGCTGTCAGTAATGGTGTGCAGCTCCAGGCAGTGTCCTCAGATGGCAGGGTGCAGTGCGCAGGCTCCTGCCTGCTCCCCGGACCCCTCCCCAGGGGAGGAGCTGGTGTTCCTGGCAGCCAGCAGTGTAATGGCTGGCTGTGCCTTGTGGCAGGGGCTGGGGCTGCAGAGCTGGTATAGCAGGTGCTGAACTGGGCTCCCCAAGCTTCTGGTGGAGGGTGCAGCCAGGGAGCTTGGTAGGATGGGCTGCTGGATGCCTGAGGGGCCCTTCCCCAGTGATATGTCACTAGGGGTGCCAGGCTGGGGTGGGGGCTCAGGCAGGCCACCCATCCTGCTGTAGATATGGGGCACAAGTATGTCCATCAGTTGCTGCAGGAAGGGCAAGGATGGGCACTCCCCAACTGATGACTGTGGTGTGTGATGGAAATCCACTGTGCTCTTGACATTTATGCAGCACTGCCACGCCGACCGGCTGTGTCTCCCGGATCTGGGCTGACAACCCCTCATAGACATGAGCATTGGAGCCCCTGCCCCACTCAAAATGGCACTGCACCTCCACCTTGCCCCACAGTGGCATG